CGCCGGCGCAGTACTCCCGGGCTGGCCGCTCTGCCCCGAAGCCCCCAGCGCACTGGGCGCTCGTTCTCTCCACGCCCGGCGCGCCCTGGGCACCCGGAAATGCTGTCTTTCCAGGGGCCTGACGGGACTAGGCGCTGGGAGCTGATGGGGCCCGCGGTGGGGCGACAAAGAGCTGAGCGTTTTTAAACTTTAGAAGGTCAGATCTGGAAGGAAGGACCTATAGAGAGCTCGCTAGGGGAGTCCCTCCTTTCACACACAGGGACACTGAGGCCCGGGAGACAAGGGCTGTCACTAAGGACCCCCAGTGAAGTGAAATGGATCCAAATGTGAGTTAAAAGGATATTTAACTCGGCAGTCTGAGGGAGAGCTGGTCAAGCAAGGAAAAGCGAAGGCAATTTATTTTTAAGGCGAGAGAGAGAGAGAGAAACATTAGCTTTGAGAAGAAACAATACGAAAGTGATTTGATTTCCCAGACAAGGGGGGGGGGGTGTGGTGTGATGGAGAGAAAAAGTAGTCAAGGCCCAACTCATCTAAATTTCATTTTGATCGTTTTGAATGGGCCGAGATCGCCTGTACCGACGCCTCACCGTGTTAATATCGTTGGGCCTCGGCGTCCAAGCCCCGCGTTAAAGTAAACTCCCGCCAGGCAGGCACTGCTCGCCGAGCTGCTCTACACAGATCCTCTTTCTTCGGGTTCAAAAAGAAGAAGAAGAAGAAAAAGAAAACACAAAAAACCCACAAAAAAACACAACACACAGTTAACCACCTGTCAGGGCTGAGGATACAATGAGGCTCCTCGAAAAAGAGCTTTTCATGCATGCGTAATATATTTGTTCAGCTATTCACTTAATGAAGCTGATAAATGTGATGCAAGACAATAGTCAAGTTAATCTATTTAGTAAAATGTTTTGAGACTTTCAGGCTACGTTAAGGAGGGGAGCGTTGGGCGACATTTTCATTTAAATGCGCTCATCTCCCCTCTTAGGCTGCACAGGGGGGTTCAGGCAATCTATGTGAATATAATTTCTTATAAATGTGTCTTTAATGGGTTTAATTCACCCTTGCCAGCTGTTTTGGGGGCTATTTTGTAAGAGCAAAACAAACGTTTCAGGCTTGGAAAGCTAGTTAAAATTAGTTTCGGTCAGCGAGGCCAAGCTATATTTCCTGCAAACCATCTGCTTGATTGGCACAATAGAAGGATTTTCAAGGAAAAGAGGGGGGGGAGTGAGTGTGAAAGGAATGAGGGGTGGGGAGAGACGACAGAAAGGGCTGGGGAGGCCGGTAGTTCCTAGTGGCCTATTCTGAAGGTGAACCCCTTAGAGGTGTCTTAATAGAGCGGCTTGCCTAGAGGGTGGGACGGCTGGAAAGCGCTTGCAGCCCGAGCCTCGTCGTCGCCCTCCTCCTTTGCCTAGGGGGTCAGTTCCCTCTTTTCCCCCCAAGACCGGAGAAACCAGGCAGCGGGGCCCTTTCCCCGTTGCCGCCTTTCCGCGTCCTAACTTCCGAGGCGTGCTCCAACTGTCTGCAGCCCCAGCCCCAGAGAGCCACGGCCAGGGGGTTCAAACCCTTGCAAAGTGCTACCTTGAGGTCCCAACCTTCCCTAACTTCCCTAACTGGTTATGTTTTCTGACGGCCGGGAATCTTAAGTCACTCTACTTTGCAGGCCCTTCTCCCTCTGCGGCCTGCGGTTACCGAGGTGCTCCCGGCTCCGCCCATATTGCAAGGGGCCCCACAACTGCAAGAGCTTGGCGCGTGGGGCTGGGACCCGCCCGCTCTCCACTGCCGGGGAGGAAAGAAATTCCCCATAGCGGGTTCCGAGAGCCCACCCTGCGGTCCCAGGGAGGCTCTGGCAGCTTTGGCTTTGTAGGCCCCAGGAGTCCGGCCAGCTTTGCTGCAGCAGCCTCCCGCAGCAAGCAGTTGCGCCCGCGGCACAGGCAAGGACCTTAAAGGCGGCCAGGGCCTCCGATTCTCTCTTTGCCTCTCGCGCTTTTTCCTTTGAAAGAGAAATAAACAACGCAGCTCTGGGAGAGAGGACGTGAGCGACTTCTTTGAAATAAACTTGAAGATAACGACATTACAATGAATGGCAGGACGCACAAAACCCCATGGGCTCAGGTCAAACGGCATTAGTCACAGGTCTTAGCCGCAGCCGCCGCGCCGCGCAGCCCCTTAGGCTATCGCGGAGTTTGAAAAGACGCGTTCAAGGAGATCACTTAAAGTAAGATCCTTTCGTCCGATTTCTTGCTTCCTTAGGATTTATTCTGCCTTTTCACGGGCGGCCAGCCCTCGCCCCCGCCCTCACTTTTCCTCTTTGCGCCTTAGGAATTCCTTAGGGGACTCTGCAGACGGACCGCTGGAGGCAAGGTCCACGTGGATCTCAGCAAGGGGTTGACCCACCTTCCAAAAATGTCAGGGCCCCTTTTACAAGCGGCGAAGTTAGCAGCAGTTAGTCTATAGTAAGGCAGAATGACCCGGGAGCGGGGGAGGGATGTGTACGCGCGCGCCCGCGCGCCCGCGCGCGCGTGATAGTAAAGGGCCAATGGAGCGTGTCAATCTACAGGATAATAACTAAAAACTACACCCAGCGAAATGCCCCAGCAGGAGAAGAGGCCTGGGGAAGAGGATGGCACTAGGAAGGCCCCAGACTAGCTTTGAGTTCTGAGCACTCCCCTCCTCCTCGCCAAAACCCCTGCAAACCGAGGCTCTATTCCGATCTTCCGGAAGACCTGGGCAAGCGCTTCTCTGATGGGTAACACCTATCAGACACCTGTAGTTACCGATCTTCTCCACCCCTGGAACAAGCCACAGCTCCAGGCGGGGAGGAAAGGAACGAGGGCGGGAGGGAGAAGTGGAGGAAGGTGGAAGGAGGAGGAAGAGAAGGACGCGTTGGCGATGGAGAATTAGAGATGAGAAGAGTTGGAGGGAGAGAATGCTAAAAACAGAGCCGATCTTCCAGCTTCCACAAAGCAGTTGGGGACAGGGGTAGCGGGAAATTGACTGCGATGGAAAACTTCGTCTTGTGGCAAGATGAAAGTGCAGGTGTTCAAACAGTTTAGACTTTTCTCCCCTATTTTATTGCAAGACATCAAAAAGAGAAACTTTGGAAGTTCTTCACACACGTCCCTCGTCCGTTTCCAGAGGTCTCCAATTAACTGGAGCGATGCATTTCCCATACTTAAATACCCACTTATTTAGAAGTCATTCCTTTCCTTAGAGGTTTTCGACAGCCTGCCTGGCCAGTACGCCTCCATAAGAGTCTCGGGCTCAGAAACTCCATACTTGCGTCATCGTAAAGCATTATAATTTGGCTCCAGAGCCTGGCCCTAAATAACTTTTTAATTTGAATCAAGGGAGAGCTTTAGCGGGCTCCGTTTCTGGTTTAATGTGATATAAATCGCAGATGCACTTTTATTGAATGGTTAAAGCAGCGACATGGAGATCATCAACACAAAACGCCCTGAACAAAACCATCGAGAGAAATAAAGCTGGTTAATAAGATTTTTGAGAAAGCTTTGTGTTAAAAAGCAAAAAGGAAAACCAGCTGAAGGTGACAGTTAGTTCATGGTTAATAGGATCAGGGCGGCCTGGCTGGGCTGCACACTTCTCTTTGGGGAGGTTCAGCCACACCAGAGAAATGAATGGGACGTTTAACACATCTGTTATCTCGCCGAACAGAGAAACGGGGGGATCGAGGTTCGGCGTTACCCCAGCCCCAGCCCCCCAGTGAAGAGAGACTGTCTCCAGGAAGACTCTCATTTGAGGTCCCCGATTAAGCATAGGGTCTCCTGACGTGGGACCAGCATTCTTGAGAACTGCGATCTTCCCAGGCTGTTTTCAGGCATTTGTATACTGCAGTTAATTAAGAAGCTGCAAAACTTTGGCCAAAGTTAAGCACCCGGCAATGGGTAGGGCTCTCTCGAGGAATCTCAACTTTTGCTGCTATGGCTTCAAAAGTCCAGGCCATAAGTTTCAAATGAAATTTCTGAGGGCTCCTTGAGGTGGGAAAAGGGCCGGCATAGCACTTCTCGCATTCAGGTCGCCTGGCCTGAGGCTGCTCAAGTGGAATCCAGCAGCCTGGACCCCGTACGTTGCTCCCCTCTGATCCTCCCCCAGGCAAGCTGCGGAGTGCTCCTTGCTGACACTTCTAAAGAAATCTCACTGAAATCATTTTCCAAGTTTCTGGGAGTTTGCAGGAGACACATTTTACTATTCAGGTATCTACCAACTCTCAAACTCTTAGTTTCCCGACCCGAAATAACTCAAATCCAGACCTCCCCCTCCATCCTTATGGACTCCACCTAATAACCCCAAAGCATTAATTCCAAATCTCCCTGTGTTGTCAGAATAGCACCCCACAAACACTGATTTTACCCACCCCTCACATCTGCTTTATGCCTCAGCTGGAGTAACCTATACAGCTAGAGACTGAAGAGGGAGTATATTTTCGTGTTCACTGACTTGAAATCTTCCGTTGCCCTCCCCACAAGGGGGAGGGCTATTTTACTGATTGCCTGGAGACGAATTTCTATGAATATTTATTGATTTATTTTCCAGACTCGGCAGGGGAGCTGCAAATAAATTTAGTGCGTTCTTTAAATAATTCCTTTTCTATGAGGCAAGATGTCATCTGAAACTTCTAAATAGGCATTTAATTAGCCCGGGTGTTGCTTCGGAACAAAAACTCCCGGCGAGAGCTTTGGGGGCGCACTGTATTGCAAAGAGGCGGTCGATATGCAGAATTGATGCGCGCCAGCCTTTGTTGCCGGCCCATTGTGCGGGCCATGCTTATGAAGACTAATCCAATCATAAATTGCACCCCTGCGCCAATCAGAGCGCCCAGAGCCTCCGGCGAATGAAGCTCGAGTGGAGAACTTTGTTGAACTTCATTGTCAGAGCTGTCACTTTTCAAAGCGCTTTAACGGGCGGGCCACTATAAAACCATCACCTCGACGGGAGGACCACGGAGGACTCGCAGACGCCCAAGTGGGATCATTACTTGGAGACGTTTGCTAAGCCCAAGAGAGAGGGCATCGCGGGGGCGGGAGGGGCGGGAAGCGAGGCATTTACCCTCAGGCCACTGGAAGAAGGGTTATTCCGTCCGCCCCGCGCCTAACATGATGTTCCCTGGCCTCCTCGCGCCCCCCCGCCGGGTACCCGAGCCTCTTGCGTCCCACGCCCACCTTAACGCTGCCCCAGTCCCTGCAGTCGGCATTTTCCGGCCACTCGAGCTTTCTGGTGGAGGATCTGATCCGCATCAGCCGGCCTCCGGCTTACCTGCCCCGCAGCTTACCCACGGCCAGCATGTCGCCCCCTAGGCAGGGGGCCCCCGCGACTCTCACAGACACCGGGACCTCGGACCTGGGCTCCCCGGGTCCAGGCAGCCGACCGGACGGTTCACCTCAGACGGCCGCCGCCCCTGCAAGCGAGCCAACGTTTCTGAAGTTTGGGGTTAACGCCATCCTCTCCTCTGCTCCCAGAACCGGTAAGTGAGCGCAGGACACTGAGGGACGGTCCAGGTGCGAGTCCTTCTTGCCCGGTTTCCTGTTTCCTTGCCCACTCACACATCTGCGCACATACACTTACGCAGGGTCCCCGGGACCCCACTCGCGCAATGTGAGACTCAGGTCCAGCCAATTCCCGGAAGAAAAGCCTCCAGGTTCGCCCCACCCTCAGAACGAACTTGATTACCTGCAGTCGGAGAGAGCGCCCGCCCCTAGGCGTGTTGTGTTTCTGCCCTCAAACTTTTGGAAGCCAGTTTTTATAAACCCAAGACAATATATTTACTAGCTTAGCTAGCATAATGCATCTACAATTCTTTTCCTACCCGCCCTAATACTACATATCTCGTTAGTACCTAGGATGAGAATCGGGACAGGGAGCCAACTCTGAGGTGCGTGGGGGGGGGGGGGGGGGGGGGGGTGGTGGTGGAAGGATTCCACAGATGACATGATGTTAGGAAAAGGCTTCTTCTACTTTGTCAAAACATTGAGAAAGATGCCTTTGAAGCCAGCCGAAGGGTTAATCATATCATATATTCAATGCTCTGTACAATAATCAAGTACCTAATCAAATTTCCTTTCTGTCTCTCTCCCTCTTTTCCTTTCTCCTTTACTCTCTGCCAGAAACATCCCCTGCCTTACTCCAGAGCGTCCCTCCCAAGACCTTCGCCTTTCCCTACTTTGAAGGCTCCTTCCAGCCTTTCATCAGATCTTCTTATTTCCCAGGTAGGTCTCATCCCCCTTCCTGGGGGGCGGCGTCCCAGCCCCAGCCCGTCGCTCCCTGCTCCGAAAGCCATATTTCTCCGTCCACCCCTCGGGGTTATGCTCTGGTTCAGAGGTTGCGAGGCGTACAACATTCACGAATCCGTCGCGCCAATTTGATGCCCTATTTAGCACAAGCAGTGACTGCTTGACACTTTGCACCAATTCCCTGCTCTACAAATTAGCAGGAATTGTCATGGTCCCAATTTGAGGCGGTTCCCTTCCCGGCGAGGAGCTGTTGGCATCCCTTCACGCCGCCGTTTTCCCACAGAGTCAGTGCACTTGGCCACGATTCCGCCACAAAGGTTTCAGCACCATGACCAATTGGTCAGCTCCTCCGGGCAGCCACACACAGACCGGCCCTCGCCCCTCCACGCCGCCTAGAGACACCTACCAGCCGGGGCTAATTTCTCTTTAAGACTCATTCAGGGTTTCGGGCTTTTCACAAGACCACATGGGGTGCCCTCTTGTGTGGGATGCCTGGGGTCGCCCAGGGGGAGGAGGACTAGATCCTCCCACAACCCCAACCTTCTATTTCCAACCTGATTTCCCAACCTCTTCTCGTACCCTTCCCCCCACCGCCTTATCTTTTTTAAAGACCTTCAACTTCTAAAATAAGTCTGAGGGAAGCCCGTAATGGGGTCCTAGTCTGGAGGAGAAACACCTTCGACAGTTTACACGAGGTTTTTATCCATCCTGGAATCCCAGTGGTGCCTCAAAGTATAGCTGAGAACTCAGCAACCGGTCAAGACTCAGGAGACAGAGGAGAGCCTATAAAGAGAAGGGAGACTGGGCACGGTTGGTGGGGGATGGGTAGAACCACGACAACACTCCCAAATATCAGAGAAAGAAATAAGCAATTGATTTTTAAAAGGGGGAGAGAGAATTCACCAACAGCCCCCCCCCACCACCATTCATGCTGCTGCTGATAATGGAATTTGCTGCCTTTCTCCCTCATCTCAATGCTCCAACAAAAACAACCCGAGCTTTATAAATAGCTTTTCATGTCCATTTAATGAAAATGATTCCGGGAAGAGAAGCCTCTGCCATCAGTATTCTCCCAATGGTCTTGGCCTGCAGTTGTGTTTAGTTTGAAAGTGTAAATCTCTTTTGTCCCAGTAATATATGGCTTTCGCTGCTTGTCCTCAGTCTTTTTCTGTTAGTTCATTACTACACAATTACCATTCACGCTTCATTAGAGTCTCTGTTTCTTTTCGGGTTTTTTTTTTTCCCTCCCTTAAAGGAAAACTCTCCCCCTTTTTATCATGCCAATACCCATTGGGGAGCGGTCAATGTGCTAATTAGCTGCCACTTTTCATGTATTCGGGCCGAATTCTTTACGTTTTGTGGGGGAGGGGAAGAAAGATTAATATGAAAAAGATGAATGCTGATTGGATTTTTCAAAAAAAAAAAAATCCAAAGCGGATTTTCTTCTGTCAAATAAGTAAGGCACCCCATTTTCATCTAAAGAATGCAAAAGCTACCAAGGTGATAAAAGCATAAGGGGGAAACCCAGCGGCCTCAGCTGGATATTTTTATTTTTATTTTTGTAAATTTTTTCTGTTGCTATTTTAGCCGATATACGCAGGTTTGTTCCCTTGACACTGTTCCCCTGAGACTGTTGAATGGAAAAACGAAACAGGCTATTGTGGAGGCTGTTTTCTGTGTTTCCGTGGTTTTACCTAATCCGGGTTTGCCTGGTTGAAAGGGAAAGTTATTTGGGCGGAAAGCGCCTTTCAGTCTCGCAGGTTTGTAGGTTCCTGGCCTATTCTCCAAGGGGAGAAAAAGGAGAGCTTTAAAGAGATGAAGGGATCAGAGAGAAAAACCGAGGGAGGCCACGAGGGAGGGGCAGACGCTACTGCCGCGGCGGGACGCCGCCCACTCACTCGCAACCCCCCACCCCACCCCTCCGCAGCGTCCTCGAGCGTCGTGCCCATCCCGGGGACCTTCTCCTGGCCGCTTGCTGCCCGCGGCAAGCCTCGCCGAGGCATGCTGCGACGAGCCGTGTTCTCCGACGTGCAGCGCAAGGCGCTGGAGAAGATGTTCCAGAAGCAGAAGTACATCAGCAAGCCCGACCGCAAGAAGCTGGCGGCCAAGTTGGGCTTGAAAGACTCACAAGTGAGGGCGGTCTCCCCAAAGCCCCACCCTCCCCGCTTCACCCCTCCCCCACGCATCGTGCAATTGGAAGGGTCCTCTGAAACCCGTTAGGTCCCCTCCTACGGATGGGGAAAGTAGAGTCTAGAGAGGGAATGAGCGCACGAGCCAGCTTCCTTGAGGCCACTCGGGACAGCTTGCTTCCCTCCCCGGCTCATTGCCCCCCACCTGCGCCCAGCCGGGTCAGGTGCGTGAGGATGGGGCTAGAGGAGCGAGAAGCTGAGGAGGGGGTGAGGGTAGGGTGAGTCCTTGACCGTCTGAACTCACGGGGCAGCGGGCAAGGAGGGGGAGAAGGACAGAGCCTCTTACCTCCCCGACGGTCCTGCCGGAGCCCCTCCCCCACGCCCTTGGTGGGGAGCGCCTGCGATAACCGCTGCTTGTCCCCCGCTCTCTCCCCTCCCCGCTCCAGGTGAAAATCTGGTTCCAGAACCGACGCATGAAGTGGCGGAACTCCAAGGAGCGCGAGCTTCTGTCTAGCGGGGGCTGCCGAGAGCAGACCCTTCCCACGAAACTCAATCCGCACCCGGACCTCAGCGACGTGGGCCACAAGGGCCCAGGGGATGACGAGGAGGAAGACGACGGCCCGGGCAGCCCCCGCCACCGCCTGGTCTATCACGCGTCCCCCGACCCTCGGCACCTGCGGGACCCGCGGCTGGAAGGGCCGCTGCCTGCCTCACCGGCTCACTCCAGCAGCCCCGGCAAGCCTTCGGACTTCTCCGACTCCGAGGATGATGAGGAGGGCGAAGAGGAGGAGATCACCGTGTCTTAGAAGCCCTCCCGTGCCCTGCGTACTGTTTCAAAGTACTTTGAAATTGAAGAGGTGTGATTCAGTCTGCTTGTCCGCTTAGTCCCCGCTGTCCAGACGCTGCCGCTTCCCTTTGCAGAACCTCAGCCTGGTCGAGGGCGCCGCAGCCCCTTCCATTGCCCAAAATGGCGTTTCCTTGCCCCACACACCTCCTGGCAGCTCTCTCCACGCAAGTGAAGTTTAGGTCTTGGTCCCAGCCTTAACTTCCCACCGGAGCTCCTATCTTGCTTATTGCAAGCTATTTAAAACACAGTGGAGTGTTCACTCCTATAGCCTGGGTCTTGCTGTGAGCCAGGCCCTGCTGGTCTTTAGAAGCCACAACTCTAAGACAGGAAACTCTTTATGGAGAAGGAAACGGAGTTAGGAGTCACAACACCAAGCATATAACTCTAAGACCTCTGACTTCCTAGATCCACCCCCCTGTCTTAGGTGGAATGGTCTCCTCTACCCATGTCGACTCTGGTAACCCAGCCTTTCCATAGCAGCTCCCTTAGATATCTGAATTTAAAAAAAAACTTTTTTTTTTTTTTAATTTTATACACATATACACCTTCAGGTCTAAGGCACAACATAAATACTGAGTCCTTCCTGTTGTATTCCAAATGCTCTCTGGGCAAAGAAGTGAGTTATTGAGGGAAGAGTCAGTCTCTATTTCTGTATGTGTCTTTCAGAGCTTTTTCTTTTTAATTTCTGCATCCATAGTATATGCACCAAGCACTCTACCTTGTGCCCTTTTATTATTTCTGGGGAGATTACGCTGACCTGCAAGACTCGAGCACTGGGCATGACATAAGCAGAGGGAGAACCCACAGCCTCTTTGATTTTGATTTTTTTTTTTTACAGAACTTTGCTGTCTTTGCACAGCTTTTATGAACTGTACACTATTTTGTACACATGTGTTGTATGATATTTTATACCAATGTTATTGTGAATGACTATAAAGGATTGACTAGACTTTTCTCTCTGTCTCTCTCTGCAATGGCTTTTAAACTTTAAAAAGGTAGCTGTTTAATTGCATAACTTATAAAGAAATACTTATTTTGTATTTTTACCTTGTACAGATTTTTATATATGTATATATGTATCAAATGAACAAATGCCAAATAAAAAGTAGAATGGACATAGTGGTCAAGTATATCATTAATTCACAGAATGTCAGAGCTGAAAGGGATGATGAGCTTCTCATCCAAGTGCTACTGGGATTTCAGGAAGGGAAGCTGACATTCGAGAGAGAATGGCACATGTCTAAAGCCATCCAGCTGTTTAGTGGCCGAGCTGGAACTAGAACCCATCTCTGACTCTCAGGCCAGTGCCTTTTCTGCTTCCCTGTACCATCGATAACCACATTTGCTATGGTTACGAGGAAAGGAGCTCCAGTAAAGTGGTACCAACAAGTTGAGTCTGCAGTAATCCTTCTTCTCTAAGGCCTGAAATCATTGAAAGTCAGTTTAAGCTGTTCAAGTTTACGATGGCTTTACTTTCCCTTCTTGAAAGTTTATACAATTTCTATTCCCCAGCGAAGCTCAAAATTGGTCTTATCTTTTGTGTGTAAGCTGATTTTCTCAGGAATGTCATCCATAGCCATGACTTGTGGGCCCAGATACAGACTCTGGGGCTCACAAGTGAAACTAAATTTCTTTAAAGACTAGCTTTCAACAGAAACAATTTAAACAGCAACGTAGGAGCAAAAAACATCAGGTAGAACCCTGGTAAAGGCTTCTGTGGGCTTTCAGAGATTGGTATTTGCTGCCTCAGCCACACAGACCCACACTTAATTATCCTAACCCATACCCCAATAGTCGGGGGGGGGGGGGGAATTGTTAAACTTAAATTTCAATAGTTTGTATCCTATCTGAAATCTGAATTTTTCTATTCTCAGTTTAATTCTCTTTCCAAATAACATGAGCCCTCTCTCCATGTAAGGTTCTGATATCTTCCTGTGCTGGGCCTGTTCCTGACACTGGTGATCACTATTTTCATTATTATTTAGAAATGATCCTGAGAACTTGAAAAAAAAAATCTTATTGTCATAATTATCTTAATCCAAGAAACCCTCCACATTCCCCCCCCCCCCCAACACATATGAAAGCACCTAGCATGGTGTTCTGCCCATGGTAGGCATATAACCTTTTAGATAAGAAATTCTGCTCTGAGTGATTCAGGCTATTTTTTCTCCTTCCCTCCACTGTTGCCTGGACATCCATAAATGGGATCCTGACCAGAGTGGCCCACTTTACCCTCCCTGCTAGCTCAAGCCCACAGTTCTTACTTACAGTCAAGAACTATTTTCAGGCATGGGGGTAGATTAGTGTCTACATTCAAAGTACTTTGGGGGCACCCCAAAGTGGCATTGTTCACAATAGCCAAGAGATATTCACATCTCATCATTCACATCATTCACAATAGCTTCTGCAAAATGTCCACCGATGGATGAATAAATAAAGAAAATGTGGTATATACACACAACAGATTATTATTCAGCTTAAGGAAAGAAATCTTGTCACATGCCAAACATGAATGAACCTTGAGGACATTATGCTAAGTGAAATAAGCTGGTAAAAAAAAAGACAAGGACTATACGATTCCACCTATATGAGGTATCCAACACATTCAAACTCAGAAACGGAGAGTAGAATTGTGGTTGCCAAGGGTTGGGGGCAGTTGGGGAAACAGTTGTTCAACGGGTACAGACTTTCAGTTTTACAAGATGAAAACGTTCTAGAGATTTGTTGTGCAATGATGTGAATACGGCTAACATTACTGAAATGCAATTTAAAAATGATTAAGATGGAAAATGTGTGATTTTTAATTTCAATTAAAACATTTAAAAAAAATTTAAATAAACTGGAAAAATAACTCACATGTTAGAAGAACTAAAAGTCCAGTAATGGTCAAAATTATGACCAAATGAAAAAATTCATGGTAAGCAATATTATCATAACACAATGTGAATGCATTGCATAATATAATGTAAGAAGCAATATATGGTGTAAAGTTTTTCTATATTAGGAAAAGTTAATGGGGCACCTGGCTAGCCCAGTCAGTAGAGCATGCAACTCTTGATCTCCAGGTCGTGAGTTCAAGCCCCATGTTGGCAGTAGGGTTTACGTAAGAAGAGACAGAATTTCCTCTTTTCCAGATGGACTCATGGAGGGTGCAGAAGAGAAGAAAAAGAAGGTTCCTGCTGTGGCAGAAACCCTTTAAAAATAGCAAAGGAATTTTGCAGAGTTGAAAATCAACCATCTGAGAAAGAAGTTTGCCCAAAAGATGCTTCGAAAGGCAAGGAGGAAGCTTATCTATGAAAAAGCTAAGCATTACCACAAGGAATATAGGCAGATGGACAAAAATGAGATTCTGTTACCAGAAAAGCTGGCAACTTCTACAAACCTGAGGAACCCAAATTGACTTTTGTCATCAGGATCAGAGGTATCAATAGTGTGAGCCCAAAGGTTTGAAAGGTGTTGCAGCTCCTTTGCCTTTGTCAGATATTCAACGGCACCTTTGGAAAGCCTAACAAGGCTTCAGATAACTTGCTGAGGACTGTGGAACCATCTATAGCATGGGGGTACCCAAACCAGAAGTCAGTGAATGAAATGATCTACAAGCGTGGTTAGAGAAAAATCAACAAGAAGCGAATTGCCCTGACAGAGAGCACATTGATCGCTCTATCTCCTGGTAAATATGGCATCATCTGCATGGAGGATCTGATTCTTGAGATCTGTACTGTTGGAGAATGTTTCAAAGAAGCAAACTTCCTACGGCCCTTCAAATTATCTTCTCCACAAGAAGCAATGAAGAAAAAGACTACCCATTTTGTGGATGCTGGCAACAGAGAAAATCAGATCAATAGGCTTCTTAGAAGGATGAACTAAAGTATCCACCATGATTATTTTTGTAATCTGGTCAGTTAATAAAGGACTATGTTCAAATTCGAAAAAAAAAAAGAAAAGAAGAAAAGGGAAACGAGAGAGAAAAAGAAAGAGAGAGAAAAAGAGAGAAGTTAAGAAAACTCAGAAAAGGAAAGGAAAACCACCCTAAGCTTTTTAAAATGTGTATGCTACTCCCTTATAATCACAAAGGTCTACATCTTCAGAACTACAAATGCCATGTTTTGGCTTTTTAGTGTCTCTTTTAGCTGAACCAAAGGACGAGGACCATGCCCGTTTTGCACACTGTTTCCCTGGTGACATGCATAGCCCCTGACACATACTGAGTGTTTGAGTTCTGTTGAGCGAATAAATAAATTACAAGGTGAGACACTCAAGAGCCTAGACCATAAGTCTGGAAGTTATAAATCTTTCAAATGAGTTGAAGGATAACTTAGGTCAATAATTAAGACAATGAGACTAAATAAACTGGTCAAATGTGTTTTTTCAAAGTCAAGCCAATTAGCTTAATCCAAAAGACTGAAATAGTTGTATCTCTCCGCTGAAGGAAAAAAAAAATACTAAAATGTGTGGCAGGCAGGCATTCCACTGGGTGCATTCTGCTGAGTGGAGATCTCATCGAAATGTAGATCAGGATTCAGAGCTCTGGGTGTGCAACATGGCTAACCCCTGTTGGTTTACAGAACACACTTTAAGTAGCAATGACTTGATACTCACATGAGTTTTATCCTTGTGGTATGTCATCTAAGGTGGATACTATTATCCCCATATATAGATGCAAAAACTGAGGCTGGGAGTTTGAGTGATTTCCCATGGGTACCTCAGCCAGAATTCAAACTCAGTTTCATTTAACTCTATGACACCATCCTGCTCCCTTGACTAAACGGGTAAAACTCCACCTAACCAAACTCCAACCAGTAAGAACTCTCTATTAGAGCTTTATGCATTTTGATATTCTGAAGTTACTGGGGAAAAAAATCAATGGTTATTTAAAACCTTTATTATGCTCCTAAATCTCCTCCTGTATCACCAGCCTGCCTCTCTGTGGCCTAAATCAGTGATACTCAAACTGATGTTAAAACTCTTTTATGGTTTTATTTTTTTTTATTTTTATTCTTTAACGTTTATTTATTTTTTGAGACAGAGAGAGACAGAGCATAAATGGGGGAGGGCCAGAGAGAGGGAGACACAGAATCCGACACAGGCTCCAGGCTCTGAGCTGTCAGCACAGAGCCCGACGTGGGGCTCGAACTCACAGACTGCGAGATCATGACCTGAGCCGAAGTCGGCCGCTTAACCAGCTGAGCCTCCCAGGCGCCCCGATGCTTTTAAAAACCATTGAATATCTAAAAGATTTTTTGTAACCATGAGCTTTATCTATCTACATTTTTGGTAGAAGAGATTGAGACTGAGGAAAATAAAATATTTATTCATCACTTCCTGTTAAAACAATTTCATCAAATATCAATATAAATACCATATTTTTGAAAAATAAATACATATTATAAAACAAAAAAATAAGGGAGTATTGTTTTTACATTTTTGCAAATCTCTTTCATGGTTGGCTTAAGAGAAGACAACTGGATTCTCTTATCTATTTCTTTTTTAAAAAAAATTTTTTAAATGTTTACTTAGTTTTGAGAGAGAGTGCAAGCAGGAGAGAGGCAGAGAGAGAGGGAGACATAGAATCCGAAGCAGGCTCCAGGCTCTGAGCTGTCAGCACAGAGCCCAAGGGGGGGCTCGAACTCGTGAACTGTGAGATCATGACCTGAGCTGAAGTTGGACGCTTAGCCAACTGAGCTACCCAGGCCCCCTCTCTTAATTATTTCTTCACTCTATCATGATATGAAGAAAATTTGTCTTCACACAGATATGTAATTAGAAAGGGAGGCGTATTTGTACAGCTTTCTTAGATAATTGTGGCTATTCTTTGATACAATGGCAAAACTTGACAAGTGGTAGGTTTTTAAAGGGTAGTCACAATTTGGAATCTAAAATCCTATCAATGAACTTTCCAACTCTGATACTCTGTCATCTATTGGTCTATCTTGCATGTTGAATGGATATTTTACCCATGCATGGTTTTGTAACATCATGCATCGGTCATTTGGAAAATATTG